AGTTAAAGGTAGAGAAGAGCCGATGAGGACTCAAAGAGAAGGTATTAATGAGAGCGACAAAGTAGGCTTGTTTGGCAGCGTGAAGGGAGGAAGTGTATGTTAGGAAGGCAGATTTATAACGGGTGTGAACGCTTGGTGGGATTTGGTTTTAGGCCATAATCGCTCCAGCGCGCGACTGTCTCATTTGAGATTCCGGGTGTGGTCAGTCCGCCAAGGTTGTAGAGGTCGGGGCCTGATGCTTTCGTGTTGTTAAGGGAGAAAGCGAGTTGTTGTAGACAGCAGTGGCCAGGTCGGGGTAGGACACGGGGTTGATGCTGTCATAGAGTTGGTCAGTTGCAGAGTGGAAGGGAGCCGGGTTCAAGTTTCGGAGATCTCTGCTGGTAATTCTTTGCTGTTTGGTGGGATAGGTGTTGGAGGACAAGGAGACTGTGAAGGTGATGAGATTGTGATCAGAGAGGGGAAAGGGGGTGCTTGTGAAGTTATAGGGAGTACAGTGGTGAGAGAAGACAAGGTCTAAGGTATTCCCGTTGGAATGAGTGGAGGACTGTATACACTGCTAGCTCAAAAGAAGAGGTTATGTGGAGGAGTTAGGATGTAGCCGGGTTAATGACGTTAATAGGGATGTTGAAGTCTCCGAGGATGATAGTGGGTAATTCAGAGGAAAGAAAGTAGGGTAGCCAGGCGGCAAAGTCTTCGGGAAAGTAAGTTGGCAACAGATGGGCAGATCGGGCATAAACTGCAGACAGGAGAAAAGTTGGGTCACAGGCCAATGTCAGCAACGGTGGAGGCAGATTAGGCAGAGGCAGAATCTGGAGACCAAGGTCAGGGCTGCTAGCAGACAAGCAGAGTCAGGAGCAAGCCGGATCAAGAGGTCAGAACACAAGAATCTGGATATACACACACAGAAGCTGCAGACCAAACAGCCATTAATCAGTGCAGTAATTCTATTGTAATAGGCTGTTTGGTGACAGGCGCGCACCCATATGCTAGACAGGCTTAAAATTTCAAGTCCTGAGCTACTAGCCAGGCCTTAGAGTTACTCGCCACCAACAAACACACAAACAGACACCTGTACACACACACACAGACAGACATGCACAGAAACATGTACACACACATACATAAAGACACGCATACCCACATATACATGTACATACACAGAAATACAGACGCACAGACAAACACAAATGCACACAGATACATGTACATACACGCAGACACACATGTACATATACACACAGACACATGTACAATTGTACATGCATACACAGACACACACACATGTACACATACACACACCCATAAAAAGTTGCAGTACGTGGTTGTTCACACAGAGGCAGGGGAGGCAGAGAGCACAGCACACATTCCTTGCTTTGCTTTCACTACGCTCCGCTATTGAGCAGTCTGACGGCTCCCAGTGCCAATGACAGATCCGGCCTGGGCTCCGAGCCTACTCAGCCATTGGCGAGTAGGCGAGTGGAAATTTCAAGCCCTGTGCTAGAGTATGAATGCGTGTGCGTAAGTGCACGCGCCTATGCTTATATTTGTGCACATCCGCTTGGCCAGTTGCCACTCTGCGCATGCGCATTTTTATGCACCAGGAAGCTTTGTTTGCACAATGAGCAAGCCTTTCCTGACACTGAGGTCCTTACAGGGAGGCAGAAAAGAAACTATTTAATTAAAAATAGCTTACAGGGCTGTTAAATTATGGTTTTGTATAGATTATTATTGAATAATAAGGATATCATGTAGTGTCACTTTAAAAAAGTTCTCTCAAAATCAAGCCAATGTCCCGCTCTTTAATGGAACTGTGCTAGTGTAAATAGAAGATGAGGAAGATTGTATTCATGTTGCTTTTAGTGGGTCTCCTACACTTTCAGGCATTTTCGAAGGATAAAATGTAGATTGGCTCCAAGGTGCCTGAATGCTGCAGGAGATTTTCTTCTAAAAGGCTCTAATTTTCTGTACTTAGCTGTGAACTACTTAGCTGTGTTTTAAACAAACTCGGGTTGCTGTTACAGTCTTGTCTGTTTAGTGCATTTTTTATCTAGGCAAAAGTAGTTGTAAGTAATTTAGCTTATGATCACACACATTGTATTCTCCATAACAGATCTTGCTATTTTGTGTGGTAAAAAGAGAAATAATCTGGCACAGTTTTTTTTTTTTTTTTTTTTTCTTTTAAATGTTCAGCCTATTTACATAGCGATCATTAAATGCAATCAATCCGAAACAACAGATCAGTAATATTTAGTGAAAAAAAAACTTTAATACTGAGCCTGCTGGTGTTCTAGGGATTAAAGATTTTATAGATCTGCAGGTTTGCACGCTGCTCCTGAGTAAAATAATGACAGACAAATATATGAAATTCTTTTTTTTTTTTTTTTTTTTTTTTCTTTCTCAAGTGAGGGACAATTGCTTTTTTGTAGTATAATGGTCTCTCCTATCAATGATCCTTGGATCTATTCCAGTATGAATAAAAGGTACTTCAAAGCATTGTCTTCTAGCCGCTCATGTAGATATTTTCTGACATTGGAAATCTGTTTCCCCTTCATACATTTTGAAGTGGGCCAAGATACATATAGATATTATGGAAATGAAGACAAACACCCATACTATGTGGCACTTTTGGCGAGTCCATATTTCCTAGCTAGGTTCATTGAATTGTTTAACATTCTCTTTTAACTATAACTTTGCCTTCCTACCATGGCCTGGTTGCTGTTAGTTTAATGACTGTATTATGTTTATGGCTCCTTTCCATATATACACTATATTGGCAAAAGTATTGTGACGCCTGCCATTACACGCACATGAACTTTAATGGCATCCCAGCCTTAGTCCATAGGGTTCATTATTGAGTTGGCCCACCCTTTACAGCTATAACAGCTTCAACTCTTCTGGGAAGGCTGTCCACAAGGTTTAGGAGTTCGTCTATGGGAATGTTTGACCATTCTTCCAAAAGCACATTTGTGAGTTCAGGCACTGATGTCGGACAAGAAGGCCTGGCTTACAGTCTTTGCCTTAATTCATTCCAAAGGTGTTCTATCGGGTTGAGGTCAGTCAAGTTCCTCCACCCCATACTTACTCATCCATGTCTTTATGGACCTTGCTTTGTGCACTGGTGCGCAGTCCTGTTGGAACAGGAAGGGGCCATCCCCAAACTGTTCCCAAAAAGTTGGGAGCATGAAATTGTCCAAAATGTCTTGGTATGCTGGTGCCTTAAGAGTTCCCTTCACTGGAGCTAAGGGGCCAAGCCCAACACCTGAAAAGCAACTTCACACCATAATCCCCCTCCACCTAACTTTACACATGGCTCAATGCAGTCAGGCAGGTACCATTCTACTGGCAACCGCCAAACCCAGACACATCCATCGGATTACCAGACAGAGAAGCATGATTCGTCCTCCAGAGAACACGTCTCCACTGCTCTAGAGTCAAATGGCTGCGTGCTTTACACCACTGCATCTGACACTTTGCATTGCACTTGGTGATGTAAGGCTTGGATGCAGTTGCTCGGCCATGGAAACCTATTCCATGAAGCTCTATATGCACTGTTGTGCTAATCTAAAGGCCACACAATGTTTAAAGGTCTTTAGCTATTGATTCTGCAGACAGTCGGCAACTTCTGTGCGCACTTCAGCATGCACTGACCCCACTCTGTCATTTTACGTGATCTTCCATTTCGTGGCTGAGTTGCTGCTGTTTCCTAGTTGCTTCCCTTTGTTATAATACCACTAACAGTTGACCATAGAATATTTAGTAGCAGGGAAATTTCACAGATGGACTTATTACACAGGTGGCAACCTACCACGGTACCACACATGAATTCACTGACCTCCTGAGAGCGAGCCATTCTTTCACAAATGTTTGTAGAAGCAGTCTGCATGCCTAGGTGCTTGATTTTATACACCTGTGGCCATGGAAGTGATTGGAACGCCTGAATCCAATGATTTGGAGGGGTGTCCCAATACTTTTGGCAATATACTGTACATTGTAATACGTTCTTCTGTTTTGTGACTTATTTTCACTTTTTTTATACAATTTAAATAAATAATAATTAACTTAAAACCTAAAATGATGACCTAAATTATGTATTTAACTGTAAGTGTGTTAAAGCTGAACTGTAGCCAAAAAGAATTGCCATGTTATGCAGTTGGGCTAGCATTTCTTTGGAAATTGTCATGCATGTGTTAATTCTTTACATTTCACCAGTTTGTTTCTATACAATGATTGTCTGTTGGCAATAGATGGACAGAATTTTGAACGAAAAAGTTTTAGGAAAATTCGTAGGAAATTTTGTGCAAATGTCGTTCGAAAGATTTTACTTGCTTTTAACATTTGATTTAGGAGTGAATGGACTTTACCGAACGAAAAGCACATACTCTGTTAGAAATTAATTCGTTCAAGAAAAATTTTCCATCCTGCTCCTTTAAATTTTCTTATCACTGCAGTCAAATTAATGTGAATGATCCATTTAATGATTAGAAAAACTAACGCTTTCTTAGAACATTCTTTTCTTAAGACTCTTTGTTCAAATGTTTACCCATTTATGGCCAGCTTTACAGGCATTTGTCTGAGGAAACATGGTTTGTACATGTAATGCTGCTGTTGATGAGACCTTGGGGGAGTCGGGGAATGCACTAGTCTAATTTATAGAGGGTTTGCATATGCAGTGACCACAGACATTCTTCTGCTGCCAGGCATGGGCTGTCAAACAGGAAAGCTATAAGTCATTTAAAATTCAAATCTGAAAATCAGCAGTATAAAATATAACTTCACTGGGATGTCTGCAGATCAGCTTTAAACAGTACATTTTGTTTTAATTATATGCATTTTCCTCTTTGCATGTCAAGTTACAACATTAAGATAAGTTCATATAGTTTCTAAAGTGTAATTTCAGTTCAGATTTTTTTAGGTCCAATATAATTCTTCTCATATACATTTTTATGTCTTTTGCAGGCAAAATGTTGATATGGTAAGCTTACGTCAATAGCAAAACTGCCATGAACAACTCAGAGGGATCGCAGGAGGTGGAGGCTAGTGATGAGCCTGGAAATGCAGACATCAATGAGTCTGTAGAAGCTGACCTTGAACTTCCAGAAGTTGAAGAGGAGCAACATTCACATCCTTCTTCCAACTCAAGGCAGGAGCAGGAGAGACAATTTGGACAGGATGAAGAAGGAACACTTGCTAGATCTGCTAGTACAGAGAGTGGATTTCACAACCACACGGATACAGCGGAAGGGGATGTCATAGGAGGCCAGGAAGATGGGTATGATATAGACAGAGCTCAGGAAAATGAGGATGAGAATGCTTATGCTGTTCAGTACAGGCCAGAGTCTGAGGAATATACGGAAAATGCAGAGGCTGAGCATGGTGAAGTACTTCGTCACAGAACTCTACCCAATCACCTACATTTCCATGGTTTGGACCAAGAGGAGGCTATAAATGCAGCTTATTCTGGTTATGTCTACACACATCGGTTATTTCACAGGGGTGAGGATGAACAATATTCTGAACCTTATGCAGACTATGGACTGCAAGAGCATGTTTATGAAGAGATAGGTGACACACCAGATTTAGATATTAGAGAGGGTCTTCGACTCTATGAGCAAGAAAGAGAAGAAGCTGATAATTATAGGAAAGAGGCTCTGGGTGCTCGACTTCATCATTATGATGAGCGGTCAGATGGTGAGTCTGATAGTCCTGAGAAAGAAGCAGAGTTTGCTCCCTATCCAAGGATGGACAGTTTATGAGCAAGAAGAAGACATTGATCAGATTGTAGCAGAGGTCAAACAGAGCATGAGTTCCCAAAGTCTTGACAAAGCTGCTGAGGACATGCCAGAATCTGAACAAAACTTAGATCCTGCTGACCCCTCCAAAGTTAGTGAAGGAGGCCATGTTACTAATGGCAACCTCTCTACTGCCTCAAAGACTGCTGCTAATACAGGAGAAATAGTGCAAAGGTACAGTAAAGAAAAGCGGGATGCCATCTCACTGGCTATCAAAGACATTAAGGATGCTATAGAGGAAGTAAAGACAAGGACAATACGTTCTCCATATACCCCTGACGAGCCAAAAGAACCAATTTGGGTAATGAGGCAGGATATCAGCCCAACAAAGGACTGTGATGATCAGAGACCACTAGGTGGAGATGTAAGTATGATTAATTGTTGTTTGTCTGAAGACTCGATGTAAAGACTAAGTCTATAAGCAGATACAGTTATAAAAGTCTGCACTGTGATGTGAAGCAGACCATAAAAACTGTAGAAATACAGGAAGCTGGAAAATGAAATGATGCCTCCTTAAAGAAAGCAAGCAGGTTTCCTTTTTAAACCACAAAAATGAAAAACAAAAATCTACTTTGCATCTTAGTAAATTTAGCAGCAAATGGAGTTTTTTATTTTATTAATATAAATTATATTGTAATAGTTTGTAACACAATAGATACAATCTGATTAGATACATGAGTAGAGAAGATGAGATGTGAGTGTATGAACAGTAGTGGACAAGACGGCTTTTTTTTTTTTTGTTTTTTTTTTTTTTTAATAGAATAATAGATGACAACCTCATCCTTTGCTTCTATTTCTTTCTGGGTCACCATGGGGACAATCGTACTTTTCCCCTTCTACAGCGGGGATCGAAAGTTTGGGCACCCCAGCTAAAAATTTGTATTAATGTGCATAAAGAAGCCAAGGAAAGATGGAAAAATCTCCAAAAGGCATCAGATTACAGATTAGACATTCTTATAATATGTCAATAAAAGTTAGATTTTATTTCCATCATTTACACTTTCAAAATAACAGAAAACAAAAAAATGGCGTCTGCAAAAGTTTGGGCACCCTGCAGAGTTAATATCTTGTACTGCCCCCTTTGGCAAGTATCACAGCTTGTAAATGCTTTTTGTAGCCAGCCAAGAGTCTTTCAATTCTTGTTTGAGGTATCTTTGCCCATTCTTCCTTACAAAAGTCTTCCAGTTCTTTGAGATTTCTGGGCTGTCTGTCACGCACTGCTCTTTTAAGGTCTATCCATAGATGTTCAATTATGTTGAGGTCAGGAGATTGTGAAGGCCATGGCAAAACCTTCAGTTTACGCCTCTTGATGTAATCCCCCGTGGATTTCGAGGTGTGTTTAGGATCATTATCCATTTGTAGAAGCCATCCTCTCTTTAACTTCAGCTTTTTCACAGATGGCATCAAGTTACCATCCAAAATTTGCTGAAATTTTATTGAATCCATTTTTCCTTCTACTCGTGAGATGTTCCCTGTGCCACTGGCTGCAACACAACCCCAAAGCATGATTGATCCAACCCCATGCTTAACAGTTGGACAGAGGTTCTTTTCATTAAATTCTGTGCCCCTTTCTTCTCCAAACGTACCTTTGCTCATTCCGGCCAAAAAGTTCAATTTTAACCTCATCGGTCCACAGAACTTGTTTCCAAAATGCATCAGGCTTGTCTATATGTTCATTTGCAAAGTTCAAACGATGATTTTTGTGGTGAGGATGTAGAAGAGGCTTTCTTCAGATGACTCTTCCATGAAGGCCATATTTGTACAAGTATCTCTTTATAGCGGAATAGTGTACCCAACTCCAGTGTCTGCCAGATCTTTCTGGAGGGATCGTGCAGTCAAACGTGGGTTTTGAATTGTTTTTCTCACAATCCTGCGAGCTGTTCTGTCTGATATTTTTCTTGGTCTTCCAGATGTTGCTTTAACTTCCACTGTTCCTGATGACTGCCATTTCTTAATTACATTCCGAACAGAGGATATTGACATCTGAAAACGCTTTGCTATCTTCTTCTAGCCTTCTCCAGCTTTGTGAGCGTCAACTATTTTCAGTTTTCTAGACAACTGCTTAGAAGAACCCATGGTGCTGATTGTTGGGAAAGGTCAGATGAGTCTGGGCATTTAAAACCTTTGAGATTGACATCACCTGGTGTTCCCAGACGATGATTGAGAACAATTCCATGACACTGGCAGGTCTCAGCTTGGCAAAGGGGGCAGTGCATGCTATAAATTCTGCAGGGTGCCATTTTTTTGTTTTCTGTTATTTTGAAAGTGTAAATGATGGAAATAAAATCTAACTTTTGTTGACATATAAGAATGTCTAATCTGTAATTTGATGCCTTTTGGAGATTTTTCCATTTTTCCTTGGCTTCTTTATGCACATTAATACAAATTTTTAGCTGGGGTGCCCAAACTTTCGATCCCCACTGTATGTCAAGAGAGTGCTGGAGAGTTGTGTTTACCTTTAGACACGCTGTCTGCTCTGTACTGGTAGATCTTCATTATTCGTTTAAAACTAGACTAGAATTGTACTATAGTGTATTGTCCAGCAAATTTATTCTGAACAATTTAAAACATTTTAAAGTGTGTTTGGCCAGAATACTTTATTTTGGATTGAATAGGGAAGTATCAGAACCCTGTCACTTTTTTTTTTTTCTGTTTGTGTTAGGTAGAGTGACCCTCTTTGTGCTTCCTGGTGACCTTTGTCACTGGGTCAGAAAGTTTATGGAAAATCCAAATTATGATGTCATCAGAACAAAAATAGATGGGACACTTGTTTTGGTGACAGCCTTCTAATGGATATTTTATCTTCTGGACAGAAAGTGAAGATAAATCCCATTAAAGGGACACTGATGCCTTTAATGAAATTGAGCTTTATTGAAACTTAAATTAAACTGCGCTTTATGGCTTTTACAAAGGCATGATTCCCAAGTCTGACTCAGTTATGCCATGCACAGCTAGATCTCTCAACAAAAATTGTTAAGAGTTGCCACCACAACTTGCCATGACTTTTCTAATCTGCAAAAGGGTTTTTCAGATACTTTGTGTACTATGATTCCATACAAAATACCTGTAAAGCTGGCCATAGATGGCCCACAATATCATCAAATACAATATAGGAACAGTGGTGGCACCTTGCCCTGCAATGTGCAGTTGTGTTCAAAATAATAGCAGTCAGACATCACTAACCTGATCAATCACTGTTTTTGGTAGAAATTATATTTCTACATGGCAAATAATTTACTAGCAGGTGTAGTAGAGTAATAGAAATCCAACAGACCCCACAGTCATGACATGCATGCTGCTGATTCTGTGTAATTGAATCACTAATTGAAAGGGGCATGTTCAAAATAATAGCAGTGTGGAGTTCTATTAGTGAGGTCATTCATTCTTTGAAAAACAGGTGGCAATTATTGCCCTTATTTAAGGAAGGAAGGCAGCAAATGTTGTACATGCTGGTTACAGTGCATTTCTCTCTGAAATTCTGAGGAAAATGGGTCGTTCCAGACATAGTTCAGAAGAACAGCGTACCTTGATTAAAAAGTTGATTGGAGAGAGGAAAACATATAAAGAAGTGCAGAAAATGATAGGCTGCTCAGCTAAAATGATCGCAAATGCTTTAAAATGGCAACCAAAACCTGAAAGACGTGGAAGACAGCGAAAAACTACCATTCGAATGGATAGAAGAATAGCCAAAAAAGCAAGGACTCAGCCAACAATCAGCTCCAGGAAGATCAAAGAAGGTGTAAAGTTACCTGTGAGTACTGTTACAATTAGAAGACGCCTATGTGAAGCCAAGCTATCTGCAAGAAGCCCCCGCAAAGTCCCACTGTTTAAAAATAGACATGTGCTGAAGAGGTTACAATTTGCCAAAGAGCACATTGACTGGCCTAAAGAGAAATGGCGCAACATTTTGTGGACTGATGAAAGTAAGATTGTTCTTTTTGGGTCTAGTGGCCGGAGACAGTTTGTCAGACGACCCCCAAACACTGAATTCAAGCCACAGTACACTGTGAAGACAGTGAAGCATGGTTGCGCAAGCATCATGATATGGGGATGTTTCTCATACTACGGCATTGGGCCTCTTTATCGCATACCAGGGATCATGGATCAGTTTGAATACATCAGAATACTTGAAGAGGTCATGCTGCCTTATGCTGAAGAGGAAATGCCCTTGAAATGGGTGTTCCAACAAGACAACGACCCCAAACACACCAGTAAACGTGCAACATCTTGGTTCCAGACCAACAAGATTGACGTTATGGAGTGGCCAGCCCAATCCCCGGATCTTAATCCAATAGAACACTTGTGGGGTGACATCAAAAATGCCGTTTCTGAGGCAAAACCAAGAAATAGAGAAGAACTGTGGAATGTAGTCCAATCATCCTGGGCTGGAATACCTGTTCACAGGTGCCAGACGTTGATTGACTCCATACAACACAGATGTACAGCAGTTCTCAGAAACAGTGCTTATACAACTAAATATTCATTAAGTGATTGATTCAAAGGAAAGCAAAATCTTCAAATATTTTTCAGTTTATATAGTGAATGTTTGAGTTTGTAAAGAAGAATACAAACACTGCTATTTTTTTGAACAGTCTAATATTCACTTTTCTTCAATTTTTTAGAGGAACAACACAAATGTGATATATTTTTCTTCATGTTTTGATTTGGAATAGAATGTGTAGTGTTCCCAATGCATTTGTGTGTATGGAAATAAAAGCTATTAGGATTTTGAGCTTTATTCACTTTTTTCAACACACTGCTATTATTTTGAACACAACTGTATGTGTTGATAATGGTGAAAGGAACAGTGACATGGACATAGACTAGCAAAAAGATTTCAGGGCATTCTTCTGTATTAAAGTTTACTAGAAAAAAATGTGAATTATATCCTGCGTATGTGGGAGTTGTGGGAAAGTCACTTATATTTTTTTGGACCAGGGCCAATTCTGCTGTACTGCCAATTGTACTGCCCAGTTACTACAAGTCATGCTTAGAGTGCATGCCTTTTTAGACATTAATCCTGATAATGCACGTCTCAGTGTGGAAGATTTTTAACCACATGCCACCCAGCCACTGTAGAAATACGGCAGCAGGGCGGCACGGCTGGGCAAAACCACGTTTTAAAACGTGTGTTTACAAAACAGGTAGGGGGCACGCACGAGGCGCGCCACCGCCCTACCTGTCCCGCCCATCACGGCTGCGGATGTCAGTCGCCGGGTGACAGCCGTTCATTACCAGCTGTGTCCCGCCGATTAGCGGCAATCACTGACAGAGAGAAGGGCTGCAGTAGCTCTGCTTTCTGTCAGTTCCCTGTCAGCTCCTGACATGCTGAGCCGGAGAAAAGAGTTTATCTCTCCTGATCAG